CCACAACTAGCTGCAGCTAGCTGCAGCTAGCTGCAGCTAGCTGCTGCAGCTAACTTCACATAGCTTCACGTAGCTGCAGCTATGTGGAGAGAGCTGCAGCAAGCCGCGTACGGTGTAATGTACAGCTCGCCATGAATAGTATACAGCAGCAGCAGCAGGAGCAGCAGCGACAGCAGCAGCAGCAGGCAGCTGCAATACAGCTACAGCAGCCGCCAGCTGAGCAGCATTAGCAGGAGCTGCAGGAGCAGCTGCAGCAGCCGCAGCAGCGGCGGCAGCAGCAGCAGCAGCTGCAGCAGCCGCAGCAGCGGCAGCAGCAGCAGCGGCAGCAGCAGCAGCGGCAGCAGCAGCAGCATGCAGGCAGCTGCTCAGCCCCTCCTTGCTGCTTATGCCTGGCGGTTTGCTGCTGCTCAGCAGCAGCAGCCGGCGCTGCGCCTGCAGCACAGTTCGCTGCTGCTGAGCAGCAACTGGCACTGCGCCTGCAGCACTGCTTCTCTGCTCCTGCTGGGGGAAAGCCGCAGCCTGCAGCGCAGCAGCAGCAGCAGCAGCAGGCGCCAGGTGACCCTGGGGGCTGCTTGCATGCAAATCAAAAAAGCGTTTTGGCCAAATCCCCCGCCCAAGTGGCCCCGAATTGGGTCTTTTGGAAGCTGCTGCTGCTGTTGCAGGTGCTGCAGCTTGTTTTAATTTACTTTGTTTTATTTTACTTCCTTTATTTTATTTATTTTGTTTATTTCAATGTGTAGAGGGGGCAGTGCTTGCCCCCAGGGCGGTCTGCATGTGCTGCAGCAGCAGCAGCAGCAGCAAGAAGTCCCTGGGGGCCTGCAGCAGATACAGTCGTGCCTGAGCCAACGAACGCTCGGCGACAGCAGCAGCAACAGCAGCAGCAACATAGCAGCGGCGCCAGCAGCAGCAGAAGGAACGACTACAACAGCAACGCCAATGCAAAGTGCTGCAGCAGCAACAGCAGCCGCAGCACTAACACTACCGCAGCGGGAGTAACAGCAGCAAAAGCTGCAGGTTTGCCAACAGGAACAACAGCAGCAGCAAAACAAAAAGCTGCACCGACGCCGGGAAGAGCAGCAGCAGCAGCAGCAGCAGCGGCGGCGCGATCCCTAGCAAAAGACACAGGAGAAGCAGCAATGCAAACGGCAACGCAGTTAGATGCAGTGATGTGCTCGGCAACAGCAACATCAATAATACCAGCAGCAGCAGCAGCTGCTGCTGCTGCTGCTGCAGCTGCAGCAGCTGCTGAGAGCTACAGCTCCAGGGGGGAGATCCCTTTAACAGCAGTTGAAATAAAAGATACATTATTAAATTAAATTAATTAAATGTGCATTATTGCAACCAGCAGCAACAGAAGCTGCAGACAGACCAGCAGGGGGCCTTCTGGGGCCCCGGCATGCAGCAACCTCAGGTGTCTATACACCTGAAAATGGACTTGTGCAGCTCTCTTGTTTTTAATTAAATGTATTATTTAATTAATGTAGTATCCTCTGCAGAAGCACAGAAGGACAAGAGGCCGAACTGCCTGCCTACGAAGGCATGCGTGCAACCGAGCAGCAGCAGCAGCAGCAGCAGCCGCAACAGCAGCAGACACATCATCTCTCGCTTCTTCCTGAGGCTGGCTCTTGGAGTCCAGCAGCGCAGCTGCTGCGCTGCAGCCTACGGCCCTGCAAGGAATAACAGCAGCTGCTGCTGCTACTGCAGCAGCAACAGCAACTGCTGTTGCAGCAGCAGCAGCAGCAGCTGCTGCTGCTGCAGCGTCCCCTGCTGCTGCAGATTAATAGCAGGAGCTACGGAACACGCTCGAGGCACTCGCAACTTCAAACCCTCCCTCCTCCTTGGGGGCCTCCGCGTAAAACCCTTAGCCCTAAACCCTAATTTAGGGTTTAGGAGCAACTCACGGTACTCCTACCTGAGCACCGTAGCGCCCCCACGTGAAAGCTGCCCATTAGGGTTTAGGGCTCAGGGCTGGGGCCGGGGTTTAGGGTTTAGGGTCTAGGGCCTAGGGTTTAGGGTTTAGGATTTAGGGTTTGGGGTTTGAAGATGTGCGACGTGACCTTCATTGCCCGGACCTCGGACGGTCTGCTGCTGGCGGAGGCTTGGTCGCCGCACTTCGGCAGCAGCAGCAGCAGCAGCAGCATGCAGCAGCAGGAGCAGCAGCAGCTGAAGCAGCAAGTCAAGGGCGTGCTGCAGCGGCTGCAGGGAGGGGCAGCTCAGGGGGCCATAGAGGCGGGGCGCCTGCGATTCTAGTAAGGCGCTGTTGCTGCTGCTGCTGCTGCTGCTGTAGCGGCTGCAGCTGCTTTTGCTGCTGCCCCCGTTGCTGCTGCCGCTTCTGCTGCTGCTGGATATTGAGTGTGCCCTCACCTTGTAAGCAGACAGCGCATTGGAATTTTACTTTTCTTCTTTCTTCTTTTCTAGTGCCCATACACCTGAGCTGTCTGTACACCTGAGCTGCCTGTACACCTAAGCTGCCTATACACCTGAGCTGCCCATACACCTGAGCTGCCTATACACCTAATTCTGGGGTTGTGCAAGTCTTTTATCTAATTGCTTTTAGTAATGTTATGTAAGTTTCTTTTTTCTAATTAAGTTCTTTTGTTTTCTGATTTATTTTGGAGTGTCTGTACAGCCAAGTGTGGGGTGTCTGCACACTTGCAAAAGTGTTGGGTGTCTGTACACCTTGCCACTGTGGGGTGTCTGTGCACCCGGGCATTGTGGGGTGTCTATACACCTCGCCACTGTGGGGTGTCTGTACACCTGGCCGCTGTGGGGTGTCTGTACACCTGGTCACTGTGTGGTGTCTGTACACATGATCACTGTGTGGTGTCTGTACACCTGGCCACTGGGGTGTCTGTCCACTGTGGAGTGTCTATCCACCTCCCCACTGTGGGGTGTCTATGCACCTTGGCACTGTGGGGTGTCTGTACACCTGGCGAGTGTGGGGTGTCTGTCCCGTGCGGGGTGTCTATCCAGCTTGGCACTGCGTGGTGTCTGTACACCTGGCGAGTGTGGGGTGTCTGCACACCTGGCGACTGCGGGGTGTCTGTACACCCTGCGCTGCAGGGTGTCTGTACACCCTGCGCTGCGGGGTGTCTGTACACGTTTTTTTTCGTTTTTTTTCGTTTTTTTCGGTTTTTGCAGCTACAAGCTGAGCCAAGGCGTGTCTTACTTGACAGTGTGTGCTGCTGCTTATCCGCGGCGTTTGGCGTTTTGTTATTTGGAAGAAATAATAAATTCTTTCGAAGACGAACTTCGTCTTTCTTTCGGAGCCCGCGGGGTGGACGTCTTCGCCATGCTCGAGACCCTCGAGACGCCCTACCACTTCATCAAGTTCGGTCAGCAGCAACTCTTTCGTTCCATTCAATTCACTTTAAGTGCTTTTATTTAGTCCAATTAAATCAAAAAGTTGCTCTTCAGCAGCAGCAGCAGCAGCAGCAGCGGGAAGTGCGCGTTTGCTGCTGCAGAAAGAGTGCTGCAGAAGAAAAGACAAGAATATGCAGATCCTGGTTCCTCGCGGTCTTTGGCGCGGCTTAATGAGTCTCTTGCAGAAGTTTCAGATTTGATGAAGCAAAACATTGAAGAAATACTTCAGAGGGGGGACAACTTGTCAGGTCAGCAGCAGCAGCAGCAGCAGCAGCAGCAGCAAGAGTAGGGGGGCGGGCAGAAGGGGAGCGGGAGAGGCGGCAGGAACGGCAGCAGCAGCGAAATTCCAGCAGCAGCGACAGCAACAACAGCAGCGCAGGGAACAGCAGCAGCAAAAGCAGCAGCAGGAGCGAAATAGCAGCTGCAGCAACAGCAGCAGCAACAGCAGCAGCAGCAACACAGCAGCAGCAGCAGCAGCAAGGGGCTGCTCTTTTTGTTTTTGCTTGTTTGCTGCAGATGTTGGCAAGAGAGCCACAGACCTCAAATACGCAAGCGAGAAAGTGAGCCCTACCCTAAACCCTAGCGCCAAACCCTAAACCCTCACGCCAAACCCTAAACCCTAGCGCCAAACCCTGAACCCTAGCGCCAGACCGTAAACCCTAGCGCCAAACCCTAAGCCCTAACCGCAAACCCTAGAGAAGGGCGTCGCAGCAGCTGCATACAAGGACAGAAAAGGACTAAAATAGTACTTTTGAGGCTCCAAAAGATAAAAGTGATAAGAGTAATTATTTAAAATGCAGAAATAGACAAAACGCATGCAGTTGACACACGGGCGAGGTGTACATACACCGCAACCCCCGCAATCGCGAGCCTTCTGAGACCGCTGGAAAGCTCATTTTGTTTCATTTATTCTGAAGTAATTAAACAAATTTAATTAATTAATTATTATTTATTTATTTCATGTTTTTCTTCCTTTTTTGCGCAGTTTAAAGGCCTCGCGAAGGCTCTGAGCTTCAGGGCGCTGCTGCAGCAATATGCGCCTCTGGCCCTTGTGGCTGTTTTTGTGCTCATTATGCTTGTGTGGTTCTTCTACCTGTAAACCCTAAACCCTAGGCGCTAAGCTCCAAACCCCAAACCCTAAACCCTAGGTCCTAGGCGGGCCAGAGGGCGGTTTCTCCGGAAGCTACCAGAATCAGAAAGCCCTGTGTAACAAAAATATACATATTTATAAATTATATTTTGTGCAAATGTACAGACTTTTAAGGGTTTATAATTTCTCATTTGCAGCAGCAAATGCTGGAGCCCCTGTGGGGGCTTCAGAGCTGTTTTGAAGTGTACGAACACCCGAACAAAGCCGCCAATTTGCTTCAAAAAGTAAAATGAACTTTATTTAATTAATCTACTTATTTATTTCTTTTTACTATAGATAAATTCTGCTCATATGTGGCTTTCTACTCTTTTGAAAACACTCTGTCTTTCCCCTTTTTCCTTTATTTGCTTCTCGGTAGGTGTTGCTCTTTGCTGCTGCTGCTGCAGCAGCAACAGCAGCAGTAGCAAAAGCAGCAGCAGCGACAGCAGCAGCAGCAAAAGCAGCAGCAGCAACAGCAACAGCAGCAACAGCAGCAGCAGCAACAACAGCAACAGCAGGAGCAGCAGCAGCAATGGCAATGCAAAGGGCATGACGCAGGGACAAGTAAAATAAAGTCTGGGGCGAGTTAGGGTTTGCGTCGGGCAAAAAAAAGGCAAATGATGCCAAGGGTTAGCTAGGGTTTAGGGTTTAGGGTTTAGGGTTTAGGGTGACAATAAGCCCCAGACAAAAGACGACCAACTAAAGCCAACCAAACTAAAGAGGATCCAACCCTGCCCCACCCGTGTTGACTCTGGCGAAGGTTTAGGGTTTAGGGTTTAGGGTTTAGGGTTGGCGGAGCGGAAGACTATTTGTGCTGCTTGTAGGCGGCGAGGGCCGCAGCATATTTGGCCTTCTCCTTTGCTGCTGCAGCAGCAAACTGCTGCTTCTCTGCTGCTGCAGCAGAACGCCACATTTCCCCCAAAACCCTAGCCACTTCCTTCACATTGGACTTCAGTTCTGGCTGCTGCTGCAGCACTTGCTGCCTCTTGTCTCTTACAAACAGCATATAAGCCGAGAGGGGCCTCTTGGGGGCCCCTGGGTCTTTGGTGTGGTGGTGGTGCTTCTTGCTGCTGCTGCTGCGGGGCCCCGCCATGCTGCTGCTGCTGCTGCTGCTGCTCGGGTGCGCGTTGCTGCTGCTGCTGCTGCTCTTGCTGCTGCCAGATGACACTTTCGTTGGAAGAGCTGCAGCAGCGGAACTGCCCACGCCTCGCCGGCTGCTGCTCTTGTTGCTCGTCATACTCCAAACCGCCCGCAAACCCCAGACGAGGGTTTAGGGTTTAGGGTTCAGGGTTAAGGGTTTGCAGCTCCTAGTTACACTCAATCCACAAACTCAACACGCCAAACAACACTTCGAATGCCGCTTCGAAATAAAAGCCTGAGACGCAGCAGACGCCCTGACACGCCAGAGCCAAGTGACCCCAAACCCTAAACCCTAAACCCTAAACCCTACGTCGTAAGAAGCGGAGTTAGTGGCTTCTCACCGAAAAGAGAGCAAGCGGATCGCGTTTGAGAGAGCTTTCGTTCACGTCAGAAGTCTTTCCTATTGCTGCTATTGTCTTTGCTGCTGCTGCTGTTGCTGCTGCTGCTCGGTGGCGAGGGTGGTCGCGTGCTGCTGCTGCTGCGGTTGCTGCAGCGGCTGCTGCTGCTGCTGCTGCTGCTCCAGCAGCTGCTGCTGCTTGCTTTTGTGCTTTTCTTCCACAATATTTTTTCCTGTCTGTATTTTAATTCATGTTTTGTAGCAAAGTTGCAGGTTTGAGGGTCAGGGTTTGGAGTTTGGACTCCCAGCTGAGGGTTTAGGGTTTAGGGTTTAGGGTTTAGGGTTGGCCGTGGTCACCCAGGTGACCCTGGGGCTACCCTCGAAAGCCCTTATTAAATTTACTTTTTGTGTTGCTTTTACTCTTAAATTAACTCAAATTTTGTTTTGATTTGCCACCAAATAGTTCAAACCCCGGGATGGTACACTAGGGTTTAGGGTTTAGGGTTTAGCGTTTGCGCAGTGTCTGCGCGAAGCAAACACTTCAGTGACCGGGCCCTTGAGGCTTTCAGAGATACAGCAGCAGCAACAGAAGGCGCTGCAAACCCTAAACCCTGTTCTCAAACCCTAAACCCTATCCCCAAGCCCTAAACCCTAAACCCCCAACCCTACACTCAGCCGAACACTCCCTGTTGAGACGCAGCCCATTCCAGAGCTGAGCCTTAAACCCTCAACTCCATACCCTGAGGCCTAAACCCTAAACCCTAAACCCTAAACCCTAAATCCTATAGTCGTAAGCCCTAAACCCGAATTCCGAAATGCTAAACCCTCATTACCTCAAAGCAGTAGAAGGTGTGGGTGTTTTCATTGCGTACTCAACCAGCGCACTCCTAAATCCTAAACCCCAAACCCCAAACCCTAAACCCTAAACCCTGAAGCATGAACCCCTAACCCTTAACGCTAAGCCCTCAACCCTAAACCCCCAATTCTAAACCCTCAACCCTAATCCTTCAGCAGCGAACCCTGAGGCCTAAACCATAAGACCTATGACCTAAAACGTAAACCCCAAACCCTAGGCCATAAACCCTAGACCATAAACCCTAGGCCTTGAACCCTAAACCCTAGACGTTAATCCCTAAAAAGGGGTTCCATCTTTGCAAGCTGCAGATTTATCTCTCGAGGGTTTGTAGGGACCTAAGTTGGGGCGTATATACAGAGCATACATGCATTGGCCTTCTCCGCAAAAGGCCTTTTATTATTTTTCATTTAAATTGTTTAATTTAATTCTTTTTTTTATTTCTTTCAGCGTTCAATCCCATTCAAACTAAACAATTTTGGCCACAAGTATTTAAACATACATAAATCTATCTTATTTGGCTTTTAAATCCATAAAAATGCATTTCTTGAGTAAATGCATGCAAACAAAAATAAAAGGAAAGTTCGAAATTTCTTCAGAATTATATTTGACTAAAACGAAAACGCTATGTACATACACCTGAATTGGAATATGAATGTAAATTTAAATGAATTCAAATTCATTCGAATTCACTTTAATTTACGTGAATGAATTTAAATGCATTTAAATTCATTTATTTCAAATGCACTTAAATGGATTTAAATGCATCGTTGCTCTCTGAGCTTTCTGCAATTTGCATGCACTTTGTTTGTCTACTCATGCATAGATTTTTAAGTAAACTTGAAGACAATTAAAACACGAATAGTACATTTGCACGCAGCAGAAAAGCAACAAAAATGGATTTATTTGCTGCTGAAAATTCGTCGAAAAATAACTCCGGAAAAATTCCAACCAGCAGCAATTTCAGGTGTATGTACATCTCAAAGCTGCTTTTCTATCTGCCGCTTGCAGCAGCATATTATTGTTTTGTTTACTTATATAAATGGGGGTCTTTTCTTCTCTTCTTTCTCTCTAAATATATAAATATAATTTTTGAATAAATTTGATGGGTAAATAGAAGTGAAAAGTGCATCTAAATGCACACTTTAATACAATTATCTCTACATCTGCATTTTGGGGTACAGTTTGGCCACGCATGTGTCCTTATATATCTTAATTAATTAATAAATTTATTTATTTATATTAATATATTTATTTATTTACATTGATTGGTTGATTTATTCATTTGTATTGACGAGAAAAAGTACAAAATGCGCAAATATAATTCTAAATACTAATTTCACCAAATGTTTTTGCTGCTTCACTCATTTCTCAGAATGGGGGGCAACTATAAATGAATTTGCGGACATAAATAAAGCAGCAGCAAAAGCAGCAGCAGTAGCTGCTGCTGCTGCTGCAGCTGCAAGAGCTGTTGCAAGGTCTGCAGCGGCAGCGGCTACTGCCTCAGCTCCAAGGTCTGCAAGTCCAGCAGCAGCCGCAGAAGCAGCAGCAGCAGCAGCAGCAGCAGCACGAGGTATGCGCTTCTGACTTTGGCTAAGAGGCGATATATGAAAGCAAGAAGAAGCGTCACTTTCAACAAAATAGTTTTGAAAAGTAAAAACGAAAAGTTAACCAAATTCCTTTCTTAATAGAGCTCCGAGTCCGGGAATTGAACCCGGGTCTTCCGCGTGACAGGCGGAAATACTAGCCACTATACTAACTCGGACTGGTGCTATGCGCTGCAGCAGCAATAGCAGCAACAGGAAAAGCAATGCAGCAGGAGCAGCAGCAGCAGTAGCAGCAGCAGCAGCAGTAACAGTTTCAGCAACTGCAGCAGCTTCCGTGTGCAATGCCAGACGAGGCAGCAGCAGGCTTAAGCAACTGCAAAAGCAGCAGCGGCTGCAACACAAACAAGCGCTGCTATAACTGCAGCAGCAGCAGCAGCAGCAGCAGAAGCAGCCTTGCCAGCAGCAGCACAAAGAGCAGCAGCAGCAGCATCACGATGTTCCCAAAACGATATTTTCCTATATTACCCAACGCAAGCCAGTGTGTACGTACACTTGAAACTTTCTGAGATGAAGATCTACATTGAAAAAAGTTTGAATAAATTAAAAAAAAAATTCAAATTTAAAAATTAATTTAAATAAATAAAAATAAATTTTAATTTAAAGGTTAATTTTGACTTTACTTGCAAACCAACTCGGCCTTCTAAGCCAGTCAAAGGAATAAAGGAGGCCCCAAAGAAGGGAAAAAAGAATATTAACATCAAATAAAATAAAAATAAAAATAAATATTTAATAAAATGATTTTAAAAATTAAATTAATTTATTCGAAGGGATGTACGTGTACAGAGTGGCCCATCCTCGGGTGTACTGACAGCTGGTGGAAGACGATCATTCAAAAGCTGTGCATGCAGCGATACTTTGAAATGAAATAAACAGAAAAGAATGAACTTTAACAAATAGAGTAAATAAATAAATAATAATACCCGTTTAATTAATCCTTCAAAAACTTAAAAAGCTCCGAGTCCGGGAATTGAACCCGGGTCTTCCGCGTGACAGGCGGAAATACTAGCCACTATACTAACTCGGACTGAAAGGATCCGCAGCAGCTGCTGCATCAACAAGAGCAGCAGCGGCAGCAACAGCAACGGAAATAGTAGCAGCCGCGTTTCCTCTGGTAGTAAGAGGTCGGGCAGTAGCAGCAGTAACATAAGCAGCAAGCACAGCAGCAGCAGCAGAAGCAACGGTAGTAGCAGCACCGTAGGCAGCAACAGCAGCGTAGGCAGATGCAGCAGCAGCAGCAGCAGCATCTGCAGGAGCTGCAGTAGAAATATTAGCGGTAACTAAACATAAGAATATATAGCGGTCCACTACTAGCTGCAGCGGCATCAGAAGCAGCAGCGATTGGAGCAGCCAAGGCAGCAACAGCAGCACAAAGACAATAAGCGGAAGCAGGGATAGCAGCATCAACAGCAGCAGCAGCAGCAGCAAGAGCAGCAGCAGGCTCTGCTGCTGCAGCAGGAATCATAAAATCAGCAGGCTTTCCATGCTGGGTGTACATCGGAAGCTCTTCCCTTCTGTAATCTAATGAATGCATAAAAGCAAAATATCATTTTATAAATAGATAAAAAGAAAATAAAAATTAAATAACTGATAATTATAAGCATAGGAGTAAATAAATATAGATATAAAACAGTCGCTGCTTCCTTGTGGGGCCCTCCTTTCCATGAATAAAGGCAGTTAATAAATATTTTAGAGCATTAATTCAGAAATATAATTTATTTTATTTTTAAAATACTTTTAGATAAAGATATGAACATTTAATTGCATGCAGCGCATGCAGCTGCTGCGTCTTGGCCTAAATTGGAGTTTGTTTTCAGCCATGCCTTTGCATGCAGCTATAAAAGAGGAACAGGAGAGTTTTAAAATATATTTTACTTTGTATTTAATAAAAAAGATCTTGAAATATATTTTAATTTTTATTTAATCCAGAATTGAGCCGATTGGCTGCATGCGAGCGCTCGCGCGAGACGCGGGGATTCAGGTGTACGTACACTCGAATTTCAAACTGACACTCCAGGTCCAAACATGAACTCAATTTGAATAAAATAAAAGCAGAATACAACAAAAAACAAAATAATCTAAATATATTCTTAAATATGAATGTAAATGAACTGTAAATACAACTAAATAAAACATAAATGACAACTTTGCATATGCATATGTTCACAAGGGAAGCGGTTTTAAGACTCCATCATAAATGGCTATAAAAGACCCAACAAAAGTGTGTTTTCTTCGAAAGTTAAACAAAATAAATAAAATTGCATGACTTCTCGTTTTTAAATAGTTCTGGAGTCCATTTATATTTAAAACTGCACATGAATGTCCACCTCGAAGCATCTGTACTCCCGCACTTGCGGCCTAATCAACAGGCGTTTGCACGTATGCATCCTCTTGCTGCTGCTGCTTCTGCCACTGCTGCTGCCGCTGCTGCTGCCACTGCTGCTGCTGCTGCCACTGCTGCTGCCGCTGCTGCTGCTGCTGCATGCAGACGCGAGACGCCCATTGACCCAGTAATATATTGGTTTATTTGAATTTTCAAACAATTGCAAGTGCTTAGCGCATGCAAATTCATGCGCTTCACTGTAAGCTTCTGGCTAAGTAAGTGGACAAGTGCAATTAGTTAATCTAATAGAACGAGCTACAGGCTTGCTGCTGCGGCTCCCATTTGCTGCTGGTGCCTCCCTGCTGCAGCAGCAGCAGAAAACTCCATTTGTTTCGTGGATGCAGAACCAAAGCCTCCAAGGGCAAACGCTCTGCAGCAGAAGCTCCCTAGCGCACACTGCGCAGCAGCAGCAGCAGTAACAACAGCGGCAGCGGCTGCTGCTGCTGCTGAAACACGCTACAAAGACAAAACTGCCCCAAAAGCCCCGCAGCCCCGGGGAACCCAAGGAGACCCTTGGAAGGAGCAGCCAAGCTTGCTGCTGCTGCTGCTGCAGTACTCATAAGAAGGCAGCAGCAGCTGCAGCAAATGCTGTTGCTGCCTGACCGGCATAAGCAACACAATCTGCAGCTGCTGCTTAAACACCAGCAGCAGCAGCAGCAATTTACTTTCTTCTCACCAGCAGCAGCAGCAGCAATTTACTTTCCTCCCACCAGCAGGCCCGCAGCTGCAGGCTGCTGCTCTGGCGGCATCCCGGCAGCACCAGCAGCAGCAGCTGCTGCTGCTGCTGCTGCGTTGCTGCAGCTCCTGGTCTACGGCATCCATTCACTAGGCAAGCCTTGAGTTATCACGTACACCTAAACCGCAACAGCAGCAGCAGCAGCAGCAGCAGGGACAGTGTAAGTGCAGCAGCAGCTCTGGGCCTCAGCAAGGCGCTGCAGTCGCCTGCACCTAAATGCGCACTTGCAGCTGCAGCATCTGCTGCAGCAGCTGCTGCAGCGATGTTGCGGAAACCGCAAGAGTTGCTGCTGCCGCAGGAAATCCCGGCGCAGCACAACCAGCAGCAGCAGCGGCTTCTGCTGCTGCTGCTGCTGCTGCAGCAAACTGAAGCTTGCCTGATCTGTGGGGCAAAGCTTGAGGTCCCTGCTGGGGCAAGAAATGACTATGGCTAAAGGCTGGTCCTGCAGCTCCAGCTGCGGGGAACTGGTGAGCTGTCTGTACACCCCAACTGCAATCTTCTTCTCCATGGTCAGCAAATGCTGCAGCAGCAGCAGCAACAGCAGCAGCAGCAGCAGCAAGACCAGTATGTGGGGATCAGAAAAAGCTGCAAAAGAACTCTCGGACGCCGCAAAGGCGAAGTGCCTTCCACGCAGCGCCGGTTGCCGCAGCAGTAGCAGCAGCAGTAGCAACAGCAGCAGCAACAAAAGCAGCAGCGGCAGCAGCAATCAGAATACCTCAAAAAGTCTCCTAAAGGAGCTCCCAAAGAACATCGGCGGAATGCTCTCCAAACAAAGAGGAACAGCCGAGCCCCCGCGCGCTGAAGGGCGGGCCTAAAGCAGCAGCAGCAGCAGCAGCAGCAGCAAAAGCAGCAGCGGCAGTTACACTGCTGCAACTCCAACTCAGCAATCGTGGCAGCAGCAGCAGCAGCTGCAACTACTGCGGCTTTAAAGGCACAAAAGTGAAAACTTCAAGCAATCCGAAGGCAACAACACTCTCTCTTGAAATGCACCAGCAGCAACAATAACAGCAGCAGCAGCAGACCAGGACAAGGCTGTTAATAACCCCGACTTCGACTGAGTACTTGCTGACGGGCAATGCATGCGCCACAGCCCCATAAAACATTTCCTCCACACAGGCGTAGCCAGAAGCAAAAAAGAGAGACCTGAGGGAGCAGCAGCAGCAAACCGCAGCAGCACGGCCGCGCTGCAGCAGCATAGCAGCAGCAGCGCAGCAGCGGCGGCGCCGAAGCAGCAGAAGAAGCGGCGTAGCTGCTTCTGCAGAAGCGGCGCAGAAGAGGCAGTGCAGCAGCAGCAGAGAAGCAGCAGAAGATGCAGCGCAGCAGCAGCATAGCTGCAGAGGCAGCAGCAGCAAAGCAGCCAGCTGCAGACCGCAGCAAACCCAGCAAGGGGCCCCACCAGCAGCAAGCGAGCTGAAGCAGCAGCAAGCGGGTTGAAGCAGCAGCAAGTGGCATGCAGCAGCAGCAAGCGGGCTGTAGCAGCAGCAATCGGGCTGCAGCAGCAGCAGCAGCAGGCCTCCCTGAGTGTGCATTTTGTCTTCTTATTTTAAATTTGTCTCTTTTATATTTTGTCTGTCTCCTTTTGCTACTGTCTTTCTTTGCTTCTCCACAGCAGCAGCAAATAAACATACTGATTAATTAGAATTAATTAATTTATTTATTTATTTATTTGCTGCTGCTCACCTCAGCCACGGCGGCCGCGCGTAGCTGCTGGAGTCATACTCAGGCGCCTCCGCCAGGGTGAAGTCGCAGTACTGGAGCAGATTCGACTGCAGCAGCAGCAGCAGCAGCAACAGCAGCAGCGGCGGCGGTGGCAGCAGCAGCAGTGGCAGCAACAGCAGCGGGAATGGAACGACAGCAGCGACAAGGCGACGGAGGCAGCAGCAGAACGAGGACCAGCA